AAGTAAAACTGATCAGAGCCATTGGACAAACATTGAGTGTAGCAAGTACAACAATTTGGAATGTCCTGAAAAAAACAAAAAAATATCTGTGTGCTGAGTTACAGATGTTAAACAAATCAGCCAAGAAAAACAATAGCTAAATAGCTAAATAGCTAATAACAGAAATGTTGGGAGAGCTGTGAAGAAAACCAATGAAAACATCAGTAACGTCCATCACCAAAGACCTCCACAATGTAGAGGTGACGGTATGAAAATTCCCTGTTCGAAGACGACTCCGAGAGCAGAAATATAGAGGCCGTACCAAAAGATGCAAACCTCTCATCAGCAGTAAGAACCGGAAGGCCAGATTGCAATTTGTGAAGTACAGAGCTGAACCGCAAAAGTTTTGGAACAAAATCTCATGAACTGATGAGGCCAAGATGTGTCTCGACCTAAGTGATGGAAAGGCCAAAATTAAGAAAAAGAACGGAACTGCTTATGATCCAAATCACACAAGCTCATCTGTGAAGCATTGTGGTTAATGTCATGGCCTGGGCATGCACGGCTGCTTCTAGAACGGACTCATTAATATCTACTGATGATGGAACTGATGATGGCAGCAGCAGAATGAATTCCAAAGTGTACATAAGCAGTTTGTCGGACAATTTAGGAAGAAATGCATCTGATTGGGAGGTTTAACAAGCATCACAACAATGACCCAAAGCACACAAAGGATTCATCAAGTGGGGGGAAAGCAGAAGGTTTTAGACTGGCCAAGTCAATCACTTGACCGTAACCCAGTAGAACATGAAATTCACCTACTGATCGCTTGTCCTGAGCCTGGTTCTGCTGGAGGTTTCTTCCTGTTTAAAAGGAGTTTTTCCTTTCCACTGTTGCCATTGTGCTTGCTCAGGATGGGAGGCTGCAACGACGTGAAGATTCAACGTGTCTGCTAGCTTCCTTAGATACAGAACTTTACTAGATGGCTTTTCCATGTATGTGAATGTTCCTGTAAAGTGCCCTGAGACAACTTTGTTGTGATTTAACGATATATGAATACACTGAATTGAATTCAAGAGGAGACTGATGGGAGGAACCCCCCTCCTCCCCACCGAAACAAACAAGAACTGAACAAAGCTGTGGTAAAAGCCTGGAATAGCATCACAAATGAAGAATGCAACAGTTTGTTGATGATGACGGATCGCAGGTTTGAGGCATTTATTGCAAGCAAGGGTCATGCCACCAAATATTAAATGTTATTTACTTTAAGAATATGTGTTACTTTACTTTTGCTCACCAAAAAATCCTGTGGTCTAATACAAACAGTGATGTGTCCTGAGTTGTTTAATACTATACATCAATACTTTGAGGGGACTTTATTTATTGGTAATGGCTATTTTAATGTTAGACAGAAATTAGTCGTAGAATCTGATTCTAGTTTTGCATTATTTGTCAGTGCAACTGTCACTGTTAAGGGAAATTTCCATGATCACCTACTAATCCCCAAAATATACACCAATTAATTCCTCACCCCTTATTTTAAAGAGCAGTTATAATGACCTGTTATATTTACAAGACATGCCAATTTTGGAGCCAGTTAATTTCATGCAGTAATCTTTTTTTTACTCTGTAGCCACAAAAGGCTGTTATGTGCACTAACACCGGTTCCTTTAATACTGCGGTTAATTTGTGGTCACAGGATAAAGTAAGAACTTTTTTTTTTTTGAGTATGATGTCAACTGACCTGCAAACATGATTATTGAACTGCAAAGTGCACGTCTAAGTTAATGAAAGGCAACGGATTATGTATGCAGCTAATTGCTCCTTATGTTGTAAAGCATGACCTCAGTAATCCTTCTGGGTCTTAATATTTACATATTAAACAGATAATGGTATAGATGCTTTATAGTGATAAAGACCAAATGTTTCCCTTTTGAGTAAATGACAATAATAAAATAAAGTTAAAAAATTTCACAGAAGAAGAATGGAGGGCATCTCCTCCTGATTGCACGATTCTGGGTTTATTAGCTGTCATATCACGCCTCTTGTTAAAAGCTGAATAATTAGGAGATAAAACTGAACACTGATATCAGAATGAATGCACATTAACGTTCAAGCTCTTGCGGATCAGAATAAATCAGAACGGGCTCCTTAGCAACCAGCGAGTGCAAGTCCACTGTTGCAGAATCCCTCTTCCAAAACATTTGCCCGAGGTTTCTCTGTGAATAACGTTCCTCTTCGCGGAAGGATTAGGTACTCCGCCAAGCATCCGACTGTTACAGGAGGGATCAGGAACAGATGACTGACTCAACACTCCAAGACATGAGACACAGCGTTTGCTCTTTCGAAGCTTTTTTTCCAGTCGGAGCACGGCGTAAGAACTTCTTGACGCGTTTGTAATTGTTGCCCGCTTCTCGTCACACGCGTCAACTGCTTAAACAATTAGGCGTCTGTCACCCGTGTCTAATAACATGGAGATGTTGCTGGTGCGCAACTGTGGCAGGAGAGAAACGTGCATCAACACAACGTGACACTCACTGGTTAGTGCTTTCTTAGTGAAGCATGCGCAAATATAAATTTAAAGCATCTACGGTCTGTTCTGAAGATGATGGCTGGCTCAGAATGAGGTTTTGTGTTGTATATTCACAAGAACTGTGACATTATCACACAGCAACATAATTCAGGGCATTCAAACAAAGACCGGCTGTGAATATATTCATGTATTTATTATATTTTCTTAACAACATTACCACCTCCCGCTCCACAGCCCACAGCAGACCTTTAGAAGGAAATGATTGTGATTCAAGGCCACAGAAGCAAGGAACCATATCCCCACAAGCAAATACAAAAAAAAAAAAAAAAAGAAACAGAGTTGGTAACAGGATTGCAACACCAAAGTGAAAGCATGTCTGCCAAGTCTACACATTCAAAGACCACGAACATCAAACGGGTTTTCCAACCAGCTGAGGGTTTCTGTGTTCAGAGGAGAAAATAAACAGAGAAAAGATTATAATTTTTTTTTGTTTTGTTTCTGTTTTCTGTGTTTATGGATAGAAGTGACTTCATAAAGGAGCGCGCCATCTGCATGTTACATATCCATTTACAATACAAAAACGTAGAAGCGAGCTAGCGTATTTTTGCCCAAGCCGAGGCTTAACATCACAGAGTAAAAATGGTCTCTCGCTTATTTATTATTTTTTTTAATATACTTTTAATTCAATCCCTGTTCAAATCAGGGCTCGCTGTACTCTTTGCTGGGGGAAAATGATTGGGTATCCAGGTGAACACTTGAAATAGAAACTTAGGCTGTGCATTTCCTCTGGTTCTTTATAAAGAAGATTTTATGACAATAAAATACAGCCCGGTTATGCATTTTGCAGATGAATATGAGTAGCTGAAGGGAAGGCTTTAAAAATTCATTGAGTAGAAATGTGTCAGAGATGACAGTTTTCTCTCTTTTTTTCCAGTTTGATCCCCATTAAGCACTTCCCTCTGATTCAATAAATGCTAAAGGGAGTCATTATAATATTCATATTCATTTGCAATCCTTTGGGATATATGTCTTTGGAATCCATAAATACTTCTGACTCACATTCACAGAAAACTTATATCATCAGAGTCCCCCCCCCCCCATATTTCTAAGCTAATGTAGCACATACAGTAAAAAGTATAAAATGCAGACTCCCATATACAATCAGTCAAAAGAGTCCCTGTAAAAGTGCTAAGACACACAACCACCATGACATCTTTGAGCTTTAAAATAAAATCTGTCTACTCGTGTAATAAAAATACAATCATTTAAATGTTTCTATCAATAAAGTTTTCTTGTTCGTCTGCTTTTCCTTCAGCTTGCAGCATTTTGTTGTACAATTTTAAAGGGAAAAACACTCAAAGGTTCTGAAAAAAACCAACTTGGTCTACAGAACTTCTTCATGAGTTTCAAAATGCAGCAGCACATTTATCTAAAACCAGTAAATATTCTCCATTAGAGTGAAAAACAAGGACTTAAAATGATAGTTCTGATATTTTAAAAGTGGGCTTCTGTTAAAAAGATTGTGAACACTTTATGTATTAGCCGTTGTAAATAGATCTTTCAGTTTCTGTTTGGATAAATGAAGCTTAATTCTGACTGCAGTGATGACCGAATGGCTAATCTGAGCATAACCATTCCCAAAACGGATCAACTTCTCACCACATAATTTTTCAATGGTTACCTACTGCTATTTGCACTTGCATAAAAACATTTAAAAAATAAGATTCATGCAAAATAATTGTGATTATGGTTTATAAATTTGCATTTATTATTCCCCTTAAAACTGTTTGAAAATGACAGCAACCACTTTGACCTTAGCCCTTCTCAAACTAGCCGTTAGCTTATCCATCAAGTCAGAATTTAACTCTCCAAAGGAAATTTTTGAAAGAACTATATACAACAGGTAACAATATAACAAGGTATCAATTGCTCATAACAATTAAACACAATTTCACTTTAAAAAGTCTATCTATTGCCGTAAAGTGAATCAGTACCAACATGATTTATGCACACATATTTTTGACATCATAAATTAGCTGTGAAAACTAAACTTTACCTTTGCATCGTCAACTAAATCAGTAAATACACTTTATTTAACACAAAACAGCTGCTGTTCTGAAGGCTGGAAAACATTTAGCCTAAAATTCAGTGATATTTCTCTGCATGTAAGACAACAAAGGTTTAAAATCTCACTCAAAAAAATGAGTGCTACGAGTAAACGTGTGCATTTGTTAGGGAGGAATGACGGCATAAACTCTCTCCCAACAATTGTACTTAAAAAAAAAAAGTCCCTAACAGACATCTGGATGAAATAATCTGTACACGTCCTTAAACACTTCCCCTCTGAGAGAAAACACTTGGACACAGACGGAGAGGCTACCAAATTTCTCGGTTGTTACATTGTTTTTAAGTTAATGTCAGTGCAAAATAAGAAAAAATATATATCTGACTGGCAGCTACAGTAAACATTACAGCTGAATAACAGCAGTTAACTGGCAAGCTTGGCATAGCCCAGCCTTCTCATCACACCTCCACAAATATCTTCGATCAATCTGATGTCTTTTCGAGACATTTTATGTCTCCATATGTTGATGTTGGCTGGTGAGATGTCCCCTTCATACATCAGATTGTACAGGCTTGTGGAGGTGGTGAATATTAGTTGATTTAGCGCTGCAGGAGACGCAGGCACCCCCAAGAAAGTGTGAATTGTTTCTGCCGTCTCCTGAGGGAAGTTGACCACATCCTCGAACCTCACTTGGAGGTATGACTCCTCGCTGAGACCCTCTGTGACCCTGAGAGCTGCTGCCGTGTGAGCTAGCCACAGATGAGCCAGAATTAAAACAGGGTTCGTCTCAGAGCGGGACAGCAGTCTCTGGATGATTTTGAACTCCGGTGCCACAGCTGGGCACCCGTCCCTGACAGAATCCTCCTTGAATATCAAGGACAGGTGCTGTGGGATGTTTTTGAGGGAGTAAAGGCTGGGTTTGCTGTTATAAACCATGAGATAAATCCATGCACGTGGGTCTCTTACTAAATAGATTGCTCTCAGAGAAGAGCCCACCACTTCCTGAATAAAAGGCAGTTTAAGTGTCCAGCTCCCACTTCGCATGTTAAGGACCACCCGGGCATTAGGGTACTCCGCAACATGCCGTCTCATCTCCCGTACGTACTCTGCATCTCTATCCAGACTGGTCCTCAGTTTGCCCTTAAGCTCAGATGCAGGCTGCTCTTTCCTCCTGGATCTTTTCTTCCTGTCCCTAGAGGGGCTGACTCTCTGGATCTGTTTGACCCTGCTGCCCTCTACAAGCTGAATATTTTGTAAGTGCAGCTTGGTGTTGTGCACCAGCGAATGCAGCCAGCCCTGGATAATCTTAAACCGCCCATTTACTGCATCTGTCCTCGACCATTCACAGCTGTCAACCAGAGAGTCAAACTCGAACTCGGTTTCAGGAATGTCCACATGCTCGGTGGGAACCCTTATGTAAACAAAGTCCGAGTTATTGTAGAAAAGGTGCTTGAGTATTTCCGACCCTGACCCTGGAAGAGCTGTTATGACGATGGTGGGGAGGGGGAGACGGTGCTGTTCGTACAGCCTAATTTGTTTATTTACTTCACTTCTGGCATCTGCACCTTTCCATTTTACACCGCAGAGAAGCTGATCACAGCTGTTAGACAAAAACAGCAGCTCAACTATCCAGAGAATGAGCACAGAGAGGAGGACATAACGCATCAGACGGCTGAAGCAAACATAAAACTTTCTTTGCATGGTCAAAAATCCAATGGCCACACAAAGAACAACTCCTGCAACCACATTAACTGTGAAGCCGATGTCAAACAGTTGTCTATCACTGCTAATCTGTTTAGGGATGAGTTGGGTCCCAAAGCCATATCTAATAATTTGATATCTATCCTCAACTTTACTGTGCCCGCCAAATCCTAAATAAGCCAACCTTGCTCCAATATCTTTATAGTTTGTAGCTATAGATACAATCTTCTCTGTGTTATTAATAGTTAAAGAAAGTCTCACACCATTTTTGCTGCTATCTATAAACCTACAGTTTGACACTTTAACATACGGCCCATGCAGCACGTAAGCTACTCTGCTGACTGTGCCCGTCATCTGAAAAGTGACGTTGACATACTGCGTCCACCTCTTTTTAAACTCTGCTGCCTGCTCTGCTTCCTGTATCCTGGTATCAGGACTTTGACCCTGGCTGTCAAACCAAAACATTTTATAATGAGCATCCCACACATCCATCATGGCGCCGTTGTACCTGTCCATAAATCTGAAAGGAACATACTTGAAGTCAATGTCAAGATTATGGAAGAAAGCGCTGAGAGACGTGACAAGCGAGTCACCCCACTTCTCCACATGGTCGAGCACCAACAACGTCTGTGAGTTGAGCAGAACCAAGGCTCTGAAAACGCTCTTTAATCTCATGGCAGGGGAATAAGCTGACACAGCTTCTCCACTCACAAACATAGTGTCTGCATGTGAGGAGGCAGCAATCACCTCACCTCTTGTATCACCCACACCCTCATCAGTCCAGCGCAGCCACTTGGCACACTCCCCTAACTGACCCTCCCATGGACTGTTACACTGGCTGGTAGGAGACGGACTAAACACCAACACATTGTTTAAATAGCTGTATTTTGGACCATAAAGTGCTTCAGACACAAACACTTGACCGTTAGGGGCAAATGTGAAAGAGTTTTGGTCTGGGTGCTCATGGCCAGGGTTAAAGCTGTTCCAACCATCCACCCAGGAGTAGGGCTTATCATGTACAATGTCATAAACTGCTCGCCCACCCAGCCTGCCAGACTTAAAAGAAACAAAAGTATTACTTTGGCTACTGGGAAGCCCAGCTCCATACGTAACCACCCCCCAGTTGGAGAAAATATGCATCCTCACTTTGCCAAAGCCATGAGGAGGTTGCGGTATGAGGTGGGAGTTGTACCAGATGTACTCCGTGTGTAGCGTGGCCCAGCGCTGAGCAGAGGACTGCCCCATGGGACCATCCTTGGGTCTGTGTTTCCTAATCTGTTGAGCCAGCCAGTTCCCCGTCCCGTTCTTCATGACAAATGTGTCGAGGAAAACCAGCTGGCTTTCTGGCCCATAAAACCAGTTGTAGTTGGAGTCTGCGATGCCAACCGTTCTCTGAAAGCCCGGCAGCAGGGTGGCATAATAAAACCAGAAGTGTTCCCGCAGCCAATTGTTCTGCAAGTTGTCGATGTTGAAATGTCGCTGGGCTAAAAAGACGTACTGTGTGATGGACTTGGCTGTGTAACTTCCATAGGCTACCCCCTCATCCAGAGACCCGTCAATGATATGATTTAGAAGATACATTGTTTTTTCCATATAGTTTACTGCTACTTGTTTCCAGATCATTGACTCGGGGTCATTGTGTGAACCCACTACTATTGCACCAGTCAGAATAGCTAAAACATTAGTGGTCTGATGATTTTGGAGATACTGTTTTCCCCATGCTCTGTACTTTGAGAGCTCATACAGTGCTTCTGTCTCAGAGCGAATTTTCTTGAGGTAAACATCTTTTCTGCGCTCATCCAAGAAGGAAAAAATAAAGTCATAAGCAGTGGCAAACCCTGTCAGAGAGTGTGCCATGGGGACCTCATCGTTCGGAGCACTGGTCACCGTCCAGTCTGGGTACTCAGCCAACCTATCCATAAACTTGATAAGAAACTGCAGGGCAGCAGAGTCCTCTGGGCAAAGCAGGCAGTAGAGAGCCAAAGGGGGCAGGTTGTTCCCATAAATTTCATTCCACTTGCTTGTAAACTCCTCATGTTTCACAGGGGGCATGTAAGAGGGGACATTAGACAGCATAGTGAGCACAGCCGCACGGATGACTTTAAAAATGTGACTGTGGGTGGTGGAGGTCCTTTGCCTCAAGTGCAACACATCCAGTTGGTTAAAATATAGGTTGGGGTGGGAATCGGCAGAGCGAAGTTTCCACTGCTCAGTCACTCTGTCTTGTATGAACTTGACCTGGAGCAAGTCATCTGTAAAAATGTCTCTGTCTGTGGCATTGAAGACCCCCGAGAAAGCTGTCCCCAGGGCAAACAGTGGGAATAAAAAATGTACAACCCACATACGAGCCATATTGCATGATATCAGTACATTTTTCGACATAAGAAATTAAGCAAGTGATTGTTTTCTTCCTTAAATTTGTTGCTGGTATGCTTCAGGTGCAGAAGTCCATAAAATTAATGGCTCTGATGCAAATACAATCCAACTGTCCATATGGGAAAGGAACAAACTTGAGTGCAAAACATTATGTTGTCTAATCAGTTTGAAAAGGCAGCAAAACATGAGGGAATAAAAAGAAAACCTTTCAGGTGTGTTTTCAGTTTAGATCCAAGAAAAAAGTCTAAATCCATATGTCCGCGTGTCGTCCTCAGTCCGTCCTCCTTGTAATCAGGTTGCTCGTAAAGACTGACATCTCCAGCCTTTGCCAGTAACTCATATTGATCTCCTCCCCTGCACGTTTCCTCTCCGGGCAAACACCAGAGTCAGCCCCAGTCTGTGTCCGGTCCAATCAGAGCCGCCCAAAGGCTCCAGGAGCAGCCCGACCGAGCTGCAGCATCCGCGGGCTGGAACCTCAACGAGCAGCGCATCTCCGCGGAGAACATCGCTTCTCCTCCGTCACACAAAGACAACACTCCACCGTGCTTCTGTGCGCAGAGACAGACCAGCACACTGAACTGTGTGCATGCTTTAAAACCTCCTCCTCCTCCTCTTTCTCTCTCTCTCCTTGTAACCCAACACGATTAGGGGGAAAGTTGTCGCTCCTCAAGTATTCAAAGAATGAAACATTTTCCAGACTGCCTGCAGGAAGCTGTAGAAATCATCTCCAAATGATGGCTATTCCAGATTGAAAAGGAGATCTGACCCACTGTTGCTTCAGACACACACACCTCACATGCACACGCTCCTGTGTAAATGTGTGATCTCCCGTCGCGGCTCTTGTTGTGTCCTCCCGACTGTTCAACACAGTCTGATTGTTTTCCAGTGAAGGATGGTGGAAACATTTCCACGGTACAAACTGTAGAGGGAGCCGTGACTTCAGGAGCTCAGCCTCACGCCTCAACCTTCAATATACATTCTGAAGCATTCCAGCTTAATGGATGTTTTGTATTAAAGGAAACTTTATTTATTTCTTATTTTGTAATGATGCAAAGCGCTCATCATAACATGCATCTTTTTAAAATATAATAAATAAGAATTTCACCCTATGTATATCAGAAAAATGTCTTATGGAAGGATTGGCTAATCAATGTCTTTATCATAGAAATTTGAAGAAAAAAAACTCTTCAGTTCTGATTCTATTTGGACAATCAAAGAATATTTCTGAAGGGGCAGCACATTTCATTGTAGAGCTGTATCACCCTCTAAAATACTAAAAAAAAAAAAAACATATTTTTATTACATTTACAATCACATGTCAGCAAAACTTTTTACAATTACATAAATATAATATCCTGCTTCCATTGGGGAGACACAATATTTGTTTTCTAAACACTAAAACTAGGCCTAAGAGTTTCATTTTTGATAAATCCTATAGTTAGGGTTGGCTGCTTCCATAGACTTAGATTAGTGGACAAATTTACATAATTTCTTCAAATGAATTGTTACTAATGCATTAAAATGAATAGTTTTCATTGATTTGTGGGAGTGGTGGTGCAGACGTTAGAGAAGATAGGCCTGTGATCAGGTTCAACTCCCAGTACCGTCAACATTAAAATGTGGGTGGAAAAGGTAAAACACCTACACCTGCCTCCACCCTCATTTGCCCCACTCTGGACCCCTGAGCAAGGCCCTTAATCCCAACCATCTGCTCCCAAAAACAGGTCTCTCTTGAAAATGAGCTCTTGTGACTCAATGTATAAATAAAGGGTAAATGGGGAAAAAATATATAAATATTATTTCTCTTAAAATGTGATTCTCGACCTGCCATTGTGTATCTGTTCCTCCTTCCTGTCCTCTCAAATCCAGACGGTCGAAGCAGATGGTCACTTGTCCTGAGCCTGGTTCTCCTGGAGGTCCTCATGAGGGAGTTTTTCCTTTCCACTGTCGCCTTCATGCTTGCTCAGGATGAGAGTCTGCGACAAAGTTAAGACTCAAAGCAGTCTGCTCCTCAGATAAATAATGTTATTAACTTACTTTTTATATATGTGAATGTTTCTGTACAGTGCTCTGAGATAACTTCTGTTGCGACTTGGCGCCATATAAATAAACTGAACTGAATTGAATTAAGTCTTTCAAAAAGTGTGTTTCACACCTAATTTTGAAAAAAGTGCATTTGAATTAGTAACTTTAACTCTCTGGTACTGTGAAACTTAAAACGCATGCATTAAATAACAACTTTACAAAAATATGTTTAACTGCTGAACTAAATACTATTAAAACAACATATGAATAAAAGATAAAGATGACTAGAAGTGGAAATAAAGGCAGGGTAGAAAAGTAAAATCAAAACGTCGTTTCTAGGTTGGACTCCAACAAGTGTCATGCTTCTGAGTAACTAGATCTGCATCACATGGTCTGTATTACTTACTGGTAAGTAAATAATGTAGAATGGTAGCCAGTACATCAATTATTGTCAAGGAGAATAACTTCTTATCAACAAATGTCGTTAAGCCAAGAAGTCATAGTAAATAATATGCTTTAAAATAACTGACGTAGTTATTTTCTATTTTAACAGCTTGTAAATGTTCACCAACAGATACGTTCTGTGAGGTTCATTAAAAGCAGGGCTTAATTTGAGCGGGATCCTGCCAGAACAGGCTAAGGGAACTCTCTTATTTTGACAGGGTGCGCTCCAGTAACTGCTTGGATCCGGTAACTCTCAGGCTCACTAATTATAAAGTTATGAACAAATATGACTGCCTTGCATGAATAAAACTTATATTTGACACGTAAGCTGAAAATAATTACATAAACACTCATTTTAAACACAACAGCCAGTTACAACATTTTAAATATCACATGCAGCTGCCCCTCAGCATTTTCACTTCTACCCTTAAAAAAATCTCGGCCCCTAAAGGGTAGGGGGAATGAGTGCCAAACGAGCTTACCAGGCGTCATATGCGGGCAGGAGCCCACAAACAGCGATCATGGAGGTTTCACATGTGGAGTTGGACGGTGAATTCAGCGGAGAAGAGTAGGGCGTGGAACCATCAAGTGGGCGGGGTGCGGGGGGGGGGGGGGCTTGACAGAAGCGGAGTGTTTACAAATGTAGATAAGCATAGATGTGTAACAACCCATTAAAATACACCAAAATGCAGGAAATCACATCTACTTTATTCCAAATTTTCTGGAGGAGGAAATCTTGCTAACAGATCGAGGTGGCTCCAGAAGCTAATGGTAAGTTGTAAGGAAATGTGAAATCCCTTAGCCCTAACCTGCTAACCCATACCCATAGAGCTAGCTAATTAGCTAACCTAAAACAAGATAACCTAGCTAGCCTGTGGTTAGCTAACCTAGCCTAACCCTAACCCATAATGTGTTAGTGATGACTCCCAGTTACTATCTTAACATTAATTAGTCGTATAACTTTAAAACTGATAGCGTTACAGACATTTTTTTGTTTGCAATGTTGGATTAGTTGTAGTAGTCATAATATAGATGATTAATTTCTTAAGGATTTATTTGAAATCCATTAAGAGGTTCATGATATGCAGCATGTGCTTGTTGATGAAGTCAGTCTGCACATATTAGGTTTCTGAACAGCATCTCCACTTAATGTAGGACTGCTGTCGCTGCACCAACACCACACTCTTGTGGTGCAGCACAGGATCCCTCAGGGAGTACTGTTGCATGATGGTTGTTTTTTTACTTCCCCACAGCTTGAAGGCAAAGGTTCACAACAGGAACACAGTTGGTTTTATCGAAACGCTGTGGGAAACACATGCAGTGTTTTCTTTAGAGGAAATATTCTGCATATGGAGAGGAAATGCAATAATAATAATAATAATAATAATAATAATAACATTCTGTAGGGCAAACTGTAATAATAATCAAACTTTCCCTGCTCAGATTTATTATTAAATAAAAATATTTATTTTAGGATTCACAAAAAGACTAAAAACTTCTGAAATTTAATTAAAACATTACAGATTACTATTTGCAAAAGTACACCTTACTATTATAAATACATGGTTCCTTTTTTTTGTTTCTAATAATTGAAACTTTTCCAAACAGCACTTTACTGATCCCAAATTGAACATTAAATTGCTGCAATATTTTAGAACATTTTACTTTTACCAGAAAATTATATTAGGAATAAACAGTAAGACTGTACAGAAAGTTTGCAATTGTAAACATTGTTTTTTAAGAACTTTCATTTTAGATTTTACACATAAAGGCTTGGTTTTTAACACATCTGTATGCAGAACCATGATGTCTTTGCCTGTTTGCCTCTATGTGTGTATGCTTAAACTATTAGCAAAATATGTTATGAACCACTGGACAGATTGGAATGAAACTTTTAAAAGTACTGTAATTCTTGGCTGTACATCTACAAAGAAGTTGTAGTCATCCTAATTTTAAATGGCCACCACAGCTAGTCAACATCAGCCTAGAGAGTAAATTTTACAAAAACTGAACTGCAGTAGGGTGTGGTAGTTGCTGACTGTCATTCACAACATCTACTGTAAGCATTAACTGATTATGCAAGATGTTGCATAAGATCATACATGTTGTCAAAGTTTGTCAAAAATAACTAAAATGCTAATTTCTCCATATATATATATATTGATCTTAGTTTAAGGTTACAACATAGACAGAGGTAGCAATAAGCATTTGTAGAAGTGGTATATAACAAAAAAAAGAAGATTTTATTTATTTATTTTTAGAAAACATAAGCTGCTGTTTATAAATGCAACCAAAAAATAAATAAAATCTGCAAATTTAAAAGAAAAACAACAAAGAATAGCTAAGAAATACAATCAAGCTTAAAAAATAAATAAATAAATAAATAAATAAATAAATAAATAAATAAATAAAAACTGACGCCGTGTCTCCATGTCGGCTCTATGAGTAGGGATCATATTTTCCAGTGGAATCTGATATTTTATTTGGTGTTCAAACATGTTGGAACT